AGGCGGGATGTGACCAGAGCGTGTACCACCGTGGCCAAGTCAGACTTCCCAAGGTACGGGCGCAGCTGGCGCACCAGCCTGAGCTGTGCAAATGCTCCCCTGGTCACCGCTGAAACCTGGGGATCCAGGCTCAACGATGAATCCAGGATCACACCCAAGCTGCGAACCTGCGCCTTCAAGGGGAGTGCGACCCCATCCAGCACAGGCTGTAACCCTATACCCTGTTCGGCCTTGCGACTGACCAGGAGTACCTCTGTCTTGTCTGGATTTAATTTCAGTTTGTTCGCCCTCATCCAGACCATTACAGCGGCCAGGCACCGGTTCAGGACCTCGACAGACTCCTTAGTAGCAGGTGGGAAGGAGTGACAGAGTTGGACATCATCTGCGTACAGATGACACCGCACCCCGAAACTCCGGATGATCTCACCCAGCGGCTTCATGTAGATATTAAACAGCATGGGGGACAGTATAGAGCCCTGTGGAACCCCACAGTCAAAGGCTGTGGTGTTGAACAGGTGTCCCCCAATAACACCTTCTGGGTGCGGCCCTCCAGAAATGACCGGAGCCACTGCAAAACAGTGCCCCCAAGGCCAAGGCGCCCCAGAAGGATACCATGGTCGACAGTATCGAAGGCCGCTGAGAGGTCCAGGAGCACCAACAGGGACACACTCCCCCTGTCTAGCTCCCGGCGCAGATCATCCACTAAGGCGACCAAGACCGTCTCAGTTCCATGTCCCGGTCTGAAACCAGACTGTGCCGAATCCAGATTATCCGTGTCTCTCAAGAATACCTGGAGTTGTGAGGCCACCACGCTTTCCATGACTTTGCCCAAAAAGGGGAGATTGGAAACAGGCCAAAAGTTGTCAAATTTAGTGGGATCCAATGATGGTTTCTTCAACAGCGGTTTTATAATAGCTTGTTTTAAGCTCGCTGGAATTTCGCCTTCCCGAAGGGAAGCGTTAACCACCACCGTTACCCACTCAGCCAATCCCCCTCTGGCCTCCTTCAGAAGCCAGGATGGGCAGGGGTCTAGGATGGACGTGGGCCTCATTCCTCCAAGTATCTTGTCCACATCCTCGGGCTTCACAAATTGAAAAGAATCCATCAAAATAGGACAAGCAGGTGCTCGTGTCACATCCTCAGAGACTGCATTTAACATGGTGTCCAGACCGGAACGGATCAAAGCGACTTTGTCTGCAAAGAACCGAGCAAATGCTTCGCAGCGCGTGGCCGAATTGTCAGGGCTCCCATCTGAGGAGGCGGGAGTTAAAAGACCTCTGACAATCCGGAACAGCTCCGCCGGACGGTTCCTTGCAGACGCAATAGTGGCCGCAAAGAAAGTTTTCTTTGCGGCTTTTATTGCCGCGGCATATGCCCTTAGAAAGGACACAAACCGTGTTCGATTTGACTCGCTCGGATCCGAACGCCACACGCTCTCTAGTTCCCTCTTCCTTCGCTTCATCACTGCCAGCTCCTCAGTGAACCAAGGAGCTGGTTTAGCTCGGCTACTTGAGAGGGGACGTTCCGGAGCGATCATGTCAATTGCCCTGGCCATCTCCATTCCAGAGAGCGACCAAGGCCTCGACATGGTCACCTACCGAGGTGGTGGGAAAATCCCCAAGAGCCGTCAGGAATCCATTCGGATCCATAAGCCTCCTGGGGCGGACCAACTTAATGGGTCCTCCACCTTTGCAGAGGTTGGGGGGCGCAGTGAGCCTAAATCTGATCAGGAAGTGGTCAGTCCATGGCAACGGAGAGATGGACAGCTCCTCCACACCGCCACCCTGCTCCCATCCCTGGCAGAAAACCAAGTCCACAGTGGGTGGGGCCAGATATTTGTTGGGACAGCCCCATGGTTGCCATGGCAGACATGAAGTCCTGAGCCGCTCCTGTGAGGGTCGCCTCGGCATGGATATTGAAGTCTCCCAGCACGAGAAGCCGTTGAGACTCCAACGCCAGGCTCGAGACTACCCCCGCTAGCTCAGGTAGGGAGACTGTAGTGCAGCGAGGTGGACGGTACACTAACAGAATCCCTATTCTGTCCCGGTCACCCACCCTCAGGTGGACACATTCAAAATTTGTTGACTGCGGGATGGGACTCCTGGTCAGATGGATGGAATCTCTATAGACCACTGCGACCCCGCCTCCCCGTCCTCCGGATCTTGGTTGGTGCTGCACGGAGAAGCCTGGAGGACAAAGCTGGGTTAGATTCACGCCTCCAGCTTCATCCAACCAAGTCTCCGTGATGCACGTCAGATCTGCCCGCTCATCCAGGATTAGGTCCTGGATAAAGGTCGTTTTTCCGTTGACAGATCTGGCGTTCAACAGCACCACCTTCAGTCCGGAGGGCCCGCCGACCTGGTTACACCAATTTACCATAGGAGACCGGTTTGGGATTATTAATGTAGATAAGCGGTCCGAATTAGGCCGAATTTGAGGTCTCCTTTTTCCGCATCTCCCCCTCCCCACCACGACCTCTATGGGGGCCCCTCGGCTAGTGGAACACCTCCCCTCCTCCATGCCGCAATCCAAATCCAAGGTCTTAGTTTCTGTTTCGTTAGGAGTTGTTTGGTTTGTTGGCGTTTTTTCTTGCCAACTCCCTTGATTCCCTTTCTCCCCCCTCCCCACCTCATTGTTACCCACGGGCTCCAGCCCACTTCGTCCCTTGCCCCTTCCACTAGTCACTAATATCAGGGACAATACAAATAGGGGAATGGGGAACCACATGGGTAGAAATAGTACACTTCAGTGGGATTGATAGTAGTAAAGTGTAGTAAAAGTCTCAGCTGCGACAATTAGATAGTTCATAAAGTGCAAGAGTCTTAAAGTGCAAATACAGTAGACGTCACAGCTACGTGTCACTAGGGCAATTCATAAAGTGCAGGATCTTAAAGTGCAACAAAACACCCAAGTCTAGCTCTGAGCGCTATCTAAAGTGCAGCATGGAGGGATAGGGAGAGGGAGCGTAAGTGCTAGTTCGATTTAGCAGCAAAAGAGGCAGGCGCCTTAAAGTGCTATATTGAGTTCTTAGTGCCAATTAGCAGCAAGGGTAGACCGGAACAATAAAGTGCTATATTCAGCAATATGTAAACACAGTATTAATGAGTTGGCAGTAATCTCAGTTGGTAAAGTCGTTATGATTCAAGATGTAATCTATGGACGGCTGATGTAACACAACGAATGAGTCTCTCAGTCTTCCGGAGATGGTCAACACGACTACATGTTGATGAGGAAAGATGGCGATTGACAAAAGTACAGCATAAAATACACAGACAAAGAAACATCTGCCCTCCTGTCTTATCTGTCTCTTGGCCAGTTAACTCCCTTTTCTTCTCACGGCAAAGGAAAAGTCTTATCTAACTTTAGCCAAGGTCTTAACTCTCTGGCCTATAACAATAATAATCTACTACACGAATGAACAAAAATGAACATGACTGAATCCATCTTGAAATACAATACTAACACATTGAAAAACATACATATCATATTTGCAATTATCCTGACAAAAGGCACTGCAGACTCCTTCAACCAGAGAAGTCAGCCATAGCAGAGCACCTGAGGAACCAGCCTGGACACAGCATGTTATTTGAGAACACAGAAATGCTGGACCACTCCAACAACCACCATGTCAGGCGACACAGAGAAGCCATTGAAATCCACAAGAAGCATGTGGACAATTTCAACAGAAAGGAAGAGACCATGAAAATGAGCAAAATCTGGCTGCCAGTATTAAAAAAAACTCAAAAATCAGGAGAGTAAATAAAAATCAGGAGTCAAAAAGCAGGGGAATTCCAGACAAGAATCAATCAGGGCCTCCCAACAAAGGATTCCCCCAGGCAGGAACCAGCCAGGCCTTGAAACTACAGGCCATTAAATGCTAATCAAGATGGCCAATGGCAACTTATTTATTCATTTATTTACTTTACTTCTATACCGCTGTTCTCAGCCCGGAGGCGACTCACAGCGGTTCATAACACACAGGAAACAGCAAAATGCAACGCACCAATATAAAAACAGTTAACAACCTAATCTAATACACAGTTAGTACACAATTACTATAATAACCATTCACTAGCGTCTCATCACTAAAAACATGATCCAGATTCGTCATCCATTGTTCCATTCCTATGTCATTACCAGTCTTGCACTAATTATTCAAACGCCTGCACAAACAACCAGGTCTTTACTTTTTTGCGGAATACCATTAGAGATGGTGCTAATCTAATGTCTGTGGGAAGGGCGTTCCACAGCCGGGGAGCCACCACCGAGAAGGCCCTATCTCTCGTCCCCGCCAGCTGTGCTTGTGACGCTGGCGGGATCAAGAGCCGGGCCTCCCCGGAAGATCTCAAAGTCCTGGTGGGTTCACAGGCAGAGATGTTCACACTTGCCTCCAGCAGACAAGAGTTTATATAGCCAAGATATATATAAACCCATTTTCCTACTTCCAACAGACCTCACTACCTCTGGGGATGCTTGCCATAGGTGGAGGCGAAATGTCAGGAGAGAATGCTTCTAGAACGTGGCCATACTGCCCGAAAAAACCTACAACAACCCAGTGATTCCGGCCATGAAAGCCTTCGCCAATACATCATTATTATTATTATTATTATTATTATTATTATTATTATTATTATGTCTCCTTCTTTGGAGGCCTCCAAGCAGAGGCTGGCGGGCCATCTGCCAGGTGGGGTTGATGGTGCTTCTGTTCCCACTCTGGGGTTCTATCAGGAGAAGCTCCAAAACGTGAGGGGCTGGTGCCACCCACCTCCTGGGTCTCTTCAGCTCTGGTTTTGGCCCTGAAGAGGCAGAGGTGGGCCCGAAGCCGTTCCTTCCCCGGAGGCTTTGAGGCAGCGGCGGGATGGCCATCTGCCGGGGCTGATTAGAATCCGAGAAGGGCTGGCAGAGACCCGGTGGGCCTTCCTCGCCAACCCAAGAAGCAGGGAGATAGAGAGATAGAGACAGACAGAACAATGGAAAGATAGATGGATAGATAGATATACCTCTCCTTCTTCGCTGCTCCGCTTCAATCTGGGACTGAGGGAGAACTCCCACCTTGGACTTCCGCCTCCAAACAGGCCCTCGCCTTCCGATTGGCCGGCACCGCGGAGCCCCGCCCACCCGGGAGGCTCCATTGGTCTTCAGCTTTGATTGATGGGTATTGCCAGGAGGGAGGCGGGGCCAGGACGACTCCTGGCCCCGCCCCCTCCGCGCTTCCCAGGGAGGAGGGAGGGAGTGACGTCATCGAAGAGGCCCCGCCCCCGGCTGAGTAGGCGGAAGAGCCAGGCAGAGAAGGAAGGAAGGGAGGAAGGAAGGAAGGCAGGGGAGCATCCTGGAATCATAGAGTCAGAGGGTGGGAGAGGCCTCCTGGGCTGGGCCATCATCATCCCGTCCAGCCCCATTCGGCCAAGAAGCAGGAACGTTGCACTCAAAGCACCCCTGACAGATGGCCAGCCAGCCCCTGCTTCAAAGCTTCCAAAGAAGGAGCCTCCAGCACACTCCTCAAGGGGCAGAGAGTTCCACTGCTGAACATAGAATCCTAGAGTGGGAAGAGCCCTCCTGGGCCCTCATCCAGCCCAACCCCATTCTGCCAAGAAGCAGGAAAATCACCTTCAAAGCACCCCTGACAGATGGCCATCCAGCCTCTGCTTCAAAGCTTCCAAAGAAGGAGCCTCCACCACACTCCCTCCGGGGCAGAGAGTTCCACTGTTGAACAGCTCTGCCTTGGAGGAGGGGGGCCTCTGCATCTCTCTGTGTGTGGCCTGCCTTTAAACCAGGCTTGGTCCTACTTCAGCCCTCCCTAGAATCCTAGAGTGGGAAGAGGCCTCCTGGGCCCTCATCCAGCCCAACCCCATTCTGCCAAGAAGCAGGAATTCAAATCACCCCTGACAGATGGCCATCCAGCCTCTGCTTCAAAGCTTCCAAAGAAGGAGCCTCCACCACACGCGGGGGCAGAGAGTTCCACTGCTGAACGGCTCTCACAGTCAAGAAGTTCTTCCCAATGTTCAGGTGGAATCTCCTCTTTGGACTTCAACTCCCACACCTCCTAACAGCCTACCAAAGCACCTGGAGGGAAGGAGGGAGGGCTAAAATGGGCACAAGCCTGGTTTGGAAGCATGCATTTCTCCTTGTTGTTGTTGTTTGTTGTTGTTATCATCCTTATGTTTGTTTACACCCTGCTTTATGTCTCCCGAAAGAGACTTATTAAAACTTTGGCCACACAATTTTAAAAATCTAAATAATATAATAACAACTAGCGGTCCCCTGCCAGGCATTGCTGTGGCCCAGCCTGGTGATCTGGAAAATAAAGTCATGAGAAAGTGCTGGTTTCTAATATATGCAATGTCTTGATGCTTGTGGGTAAACAGTATTCCTTGCTGTTTCTTTGACAGTGTTGACGTAGAGATTTTCTGGTTTGCCTACTCTGGAACATGCAACATATCACTGTCCATCTTTAGGAGTCCCTTTCAAATCTATAATACTTTACCTGTGTGTGTGTGAATCACATATACCTATCTATATCTATGGCTGGATGGCTCTTTGTCAGGAGGGCTTTGATTACGTTTTCTTGCCCTGGTGAAGGAAGTTGGACTGGGTGGCCTTGAGTATTTTCTGATGGTCATGCATAGGGGTTCTGTGTGGGAAGTTTGGCCCAATTCTGTCGTTTGTGGGGTTCAGAATGCTCCTTGATTGTATGTGAACTATAAATCCCAGTAACTACAAATCCCAAATGTCAAGGTCTGTTTCCCCCAAACTCCATCTGTGTTCATACTTGGGCATATGGAATATTCATGCCAAGTTTGGTCCAGATCCACCATTGTTTGAGTCCACAGTGCTCTCTGCATGGAGGTGAACTACAACTCTCAAGGTCAATGCCCACCAAAGCCTTCCAGTGTTTTCTGTTGGTCACGGGAGTTCTGTGTGGCAAGTTTGGTTCAATTCCATCGTTGGTGGAGTTCGGAATGCTGTTTGATTGTAGGTGAACTATAAATCCCAGCAACTACAACTCCCAAATGACAAAATCATAATTTTTTGAGGGATGGTCACTCCTTGTGTCGTGAGACGTTTCGTTGCCAAATTTGGTGTGATTTCATTCATTGGTTCTTTTGTTTTTAAGGTACTCATTACGCACAGAGCATTGTTATATAGAGAGATAGATTGACTATCGAACTTTCTCAATCCCTCTATTCTTTCTTTCTCCGTCCTTAATTCTTTGTCCCTGGTAGTTCTTTTTGTGATGTGGTTTATGTGCCTCTTTTTCCTTACTTGGTTTGATAACCATTTCCCTGGTTTATTAGCATTTTCAAAGGTCTGTTGTGTTAAAACTTTTTAGTTGTCTTGCTTGAAATTCAAGTTCCAGTCGAGCCTTCTCTTGACTTGGCATCGTTAATTCTCTTTCCAATTTCTTATTTTCAGGTCTCTTTTTTAATTCCAATTCTTTGGATGATATTTTAACCATTATATCTTTAATTTTCTTTTCTCTTTCTTTTCTCTTCCTCGCTCCTTGTTGTATTAAATGGCCTCTTAAAACTGCGCTAAGTGCATTTATTTATTTGTTTGTTTATTTATTTATTTCACAGTTTTCTATACCGAGCTTCTCAACCTCATTGAGGGACTCAGCCCAGTTTCCAGCCATAAAAACATATACACTCATTAAAATATCATATATCACAAATTACAAAACAACTTTAAAAACACTAAATATAAAACTACACTGGTCAGTCGTCCTATTAAGATGGATCTACATCGACTTCCATCCAGGGTCCTATGGTGTTGTCTCATTCCTCGAAGGCCTGACTCCACAGCCACGTCTTCACCCGTTTCCTAAATGTTAGGATGGATGGGGCGGTTCTGGCCTCCAGAGGGAGAGAGTTCCAGAGTCGCGGGGCCACCACCGAGAAGGCCCTGTCCCTCGTCCCCACCAGGCGCGCTTGCGAGGCTGGTGGGACCGAGAGCAGGGCCTCTCCAGATGATCGTAGTAATCTTGATGCATCCCATATTACTTGTGGTTCTACATCTTCTGGTCTATTTACTTGTAAGTATTCATGAATTACTTCATTATAATATTCTTTTTTTAATTAAGTTCTCATTCAGCCTCCATTTTCTACAATAGTTTCTGTGGTTTATGATGACTTCTAACGGACAGTGGTCAGAGAGATCTCTTGGTAAGATATTAATTTTAGTTACTTTAGCCACGAGCTTCTTAGTTATCCATGCCATGTCTATCCTAGACCACTCTCAACACCTTCGCAGAAGCATACACGAAGCTTGGCCTGTCACTGAACATCGAGAAAACCAAGGTGCTGTTCCAGCAGGCACCAGCCATCCCCTCCCCAATGCCAGAGATACAGATGAATGGTGTCACATTAGAAAATGTGGACCACTTCCGCTCCCTTGGCAGCCACCTCTCCACCAAAGTCAACATCAACACTGAAATACAACACCGCCTGAGCTCTGCGAGTGCAGCATTTTCCCGAATGAAGCAGAGAGTGTTTGAGGACCGGGACATCCGTAGGGAGACCAAGGTGCTTGTTTACAAAGCTACTGTCCTCCCAACCCTGCTCTATGCCTGTGAAACGTGGACTGTCTACAGACATCAACATTGAGGCTGAAATACAACACCGCCTGAGCTCTGCGAGTGCAGCATTTTCCCGAATGAAGCAGAGAGTGTTTGAGGACCGGGACATCCGTAGGGATACCAAGGTGCTTGTCTATAAAGCTATTGTCCTCCCAACCCTGCTCTATGCCTGCGAGACGTGGACTGTCTACAGACGTCACATGCAACTCCTGGAATGATTCCATCAGCGCTGCATCCGGAAAATCCTGCAAATCTCTTGGGAAGACAAGCGGACAAACATCAGCATGCTGGAAGAAGCAAAGACCACCAGCATTGAAGCGATGGTCCTCCAACATCAACTCCGCTGGGCCGGCCACGTTGTCCGGATGCCTGACCACCGTCTCCCAAAGCAGTTGCTCTACTCCGAACTTAAGAACGGAAAACGGAACGTTGGTGGACAGGAAAAGAGATTTAAAGATGGGCTCAAAGCCAACCTTAAAAACTCTGGCATAGACACTGAGAACTGGGAAGCCCTGGCCTGTGAGCGCTCCAGCTGGAGGACAGCTGTGACCAGCAGTGCTGCAGAATTTGAAGGAGGCACGAGTGGAGGGTGAAAGAGAGAAACGTGCCAGGAGGAAGGCGCGTCAAGCCAACCCCGACCGGGACCGCCTTCCACCTGGAAACCAATGCCCTCACTGCGGAAGGAGATGCAGAGCAAGAATAGGGCTCCACAGCCACATACGGACCCACAAGGAAATCCATAATGGAAGACCATCTTACTCGTCCAACGAGGGATCGCCTAAGTAAGTAAGTAAGTATACTTCACTTACAACAGAGCATGAAGCGGTTGCGTGAAACCTCTGGAAGCATCTTTATCTTTTTTCTCCAGGCATCTTCTAAATCAAATTCTTTTTGGAGCTCTATACTGTGGCAATGTACTTTCCTTTGTTTCCCTTTTTTTTGTACTTTTATCCATCTGGGTATCAATTACCCCGTTGAAGTCTCCTACCGAAATCAATTCGTCAAATTCAGTTTCTTTCCATTTAGAGTGCAAGAAGGGGCCGACCAAGGGCAAGATGGATGGGTGGCATCCTAGAAGTGACTGGATTGGCCTTGAAGGAGCTGGGGGTGGTGACGGCCGACAGGGAGCTCTGGCGTGGGCTGGTCCATGAGGTCACAAAGAGTCAGAGACGACTGAACGAATGAACAACAACAACAACAATTCTATAAATTTTGTCTTAGGGCCGTTTGGTGCATATATCTCACAAATCAAAATCTTTGAGTCTCCAATTACTATTTCAACTGCTACACATCTGCCCTCCACATCTTTAAAACTATGGCCACACAATTTTAGAAATCTAAGTAATATAATAATAACAACAACAGTAATAACTGATTAATTGAGACTCGTTTAACGACAGGACGATGTGATGGGAAATGATTTTCATGATGAGACGCTGAGAACTGTATTTTATTATTGTAATTGTTTATTGTTTTTATATGGTTTATA